AAATTTTATGCTGAACACAAACAAAATAAATATGCTTTGTAGCTGAAATTTTGACGAGTGTACCAACAGAACAAAAAAAAATCGATAATCGAATGTAGGTAGCCCGCGAAATTTGAAAATTCACCTTATTTGTTCAACAGACCTCATATATTAATTTTGAACACATTTTAATGATGCAATTAAGCAAAATGCAATAATCCACGTCGATCATTTAACTTAAAAATATTTTGCAGTTACCAATTTTATTAGCCATTTTGCAAAGAAATATCATATACTAGCTTGCCAATTATGCTGACTCATTTTCATGTCTGTGTGTATACATTTATGACAAAAAGTGACAAATTACTCAACCAGGAGCTATTAAACTACCTACAAACACACATACGTACATATGTTTATGTATAGGTGCAAATTCTTGTGAAATGTTATAATACGCTTCGTTACATTCAATTGCATCTTATACAATAAAGTAGTATTAAAGTCCATTATACAGTATATTTGAAGAGTTTTTGTGCAAAGCTGTAAAATAATTTCAAAGTGCAAATTAAAGTATTTATTGAGTGTAAAAGAAAAATTATATTATATATCGAGATAAATATGTATACAGAATTGTACAAGCATGATATAATTTCCTAAAAAAAATTCAATAGCAAATTAGCTATAGTTATAAAACTCATTACACACCATACCTACCATATACCTATGTACATATGTAATCAAATATCGTTATAAAAATACAAATACTCATATGAATAAGTACATACTTATTTACGTTTATAACTAACCTTGCAATATTTTCTTCTTTACTGCGAAAACTAACAACGTATGACTAAATGGCATGATCGACTATTCGGTAGTTAAGTTTAACCCTTTTTGTGATATTTGAGTCATATGCAATTTTGTTTAATATAAAATTAAAAAGTTAAATGAAAATAAATTTTTATTAGTTCATGTAATTTTTTTATATTTTGTAATCGATTAAAATGCTTATTAATTATTATTTAAAGAAGATTAAACTATAATAACATCGTTTGAATGTTAACTTAGCATTAGCATTCCTACTTCTTCTTCGTAACTGCTAATATATATTATATATGTAACTGGCCATCAATGACACTTTCAGGCACTTCGAACTCTGAAATTGAGATCATAAACTACCAGCCACAAATCTTTGACCGTTTAATTGTTTTCAATTTGATTTATCGTTCGGAATTTAACGGTTTTTTTTTACTATCCACATACTCATATCTTTGTTTGTAGCGCTATACGATAGTTATGTAACTTAATTGATGTAGATATGTACATATATTTTTGCAGGCGTGTATTTGTTGAACGTATTACCGAAAAAGTTCAATGTACAAATTTATAAATTTTTTGCTCAAATATAACTATTAATGAGTAGTATGGTTAGAGGTAATTATACTGAAAGTTTCTTCTGCCTGTTTTGTGTTATGTCATGATGTTTTGTAAGCGTTGAAAAAATGCAGTTAACAAAAACAGGGTCTTATTTTAGATTCTGAAAATAGCAATATGGCTGTCAAACCAGCTGTCGAAGGAAGCACATGTTTTTGACATTTACGAGCGGTAGAGACAAAGGATCCATGACTTTTTGTTCCCTGTATCAATATCAATTATTTAAGAGCTGAACAGTTCAAGCCGGAGGTTGTAACAACCCACAGATCGCATGAAACCTTTATTGGGACCAACTTTTGGTAGCCGAATTGTGTATATCAATAAATGAGCCTGTTAATTGCTTACCTAGGTCATATTATTTCACTCGGTTAGACTAGTTTTTGGCATGGATATGTCAAGTCAATGTTCCATTTTCATAAACCGAGCTACGAATGCTCTGTTGCTGTAAGCTAAATTCGGCGCATTATTGTCATAAAGCCAAAAAAAAACTTGCTTAAAAACGTAATGCAAAATCGGACTCATAGATCAATTCTATTCAAATCATACAAGTTATACAATCAAAAAATTATCTATTTTATACAAATTTCTGTGTTTTATTTGAATGAAAAGTCCTGCATCTCTAAAAAAGCACCATATACATACATAATATAGATTTTTCGAACTATTTTGAATACCTTTTCTATTCAAACCTTAGATGCTATACAATTTTCGAGCCAATAAAATCAAATAATTTATTTTTCATAATTGTTTCTGTCTTTTATTTGAAATGAAAATTTAGTATCTCTAAAATTAAGCACCCTATAAAAACATAATTATTTTTATTTTCCGTACTCTTTAGACGATTTTCTCTGAACCTTCTTTACAGACAACATTTCAACCACTGAATTTCGGTTAAACATTTTCTTAATGGCATTCACAACTTCTTTGTTTTGTCCAACCTTTGTCTTTCGACAAGCTCGATTTCATTAACCGCAGTAAGGTACCACACGCTTGTAATGTAAACACCGAACATGGCTTAAATCGCACGATGCGTGTAGTGTGTTATGCACTGTTTGTAATTGAGTTAACCCATCACGTCGCCCTCTTTTCGTTTGTACTACAAGATTTTATGGTGTGATTTCGGTCTCTCTGTTTGTATGGCACATGAGAAAATCACGCCATCTGTAGCGGTTTGGGCAACTTTCACCGCTCCACCGACAGCTAAAACCGGCAAAATTGAATGCGGAATTATTTCGCATGTCGAATTAAATGAAAAAGAGCACATCTAAATAAATATGTATTAATGTGTGTGAAGATTTGTATATAGGTATAAGCATGTGCCTAGGCATAATTATGAACGTTTTTTGTTATTTTGTTTCGCGAATTCCGCCTGCGGCATGGAAAGACAAATGCCTACGAATACACTTTAAAATTAATAATTCATAATATTTGTTATTAAATAGTGTGAAAAATATACAGTTATGTTATTGTGAAATTGCTAATTTCGGTTAATTTAAAATTAATTATATTTCGTACATTTGAGTAGAATCTTAGATAAGCTAATTAGAATATGGTTGGTTTTATCTTTATGTTTTCTTTCTTACAAAAGTTGAATATTTTTCAAAGACAAATAATCCGTATAAAAATTGAAATTTGCAAAAATTACCTATTTTCTAAAAAAAAAATGGTTAGTTGCTATGCTTTTCAATGAATAAAGTAACAAAATAAAATAATTCGCAAAAAAAATTAGCAAACTAAAATGTGACCTTATTTTTTATGTCCAAAAAAGAAATGATATAAGAAAAAATTGCTAGAACCATGTTTATAGATTACTCGTTTTAAATAATTTTATTACAAAACAGCGCTATTGGTCAAATATTTTAATTAAAAGCTACCCAAACTTATTTGAATGATTTTTAACAGATACGTTTCTAAATTAAAAAAATTAAAACAGTGAATTTTTTATCTTTTACTTCAAAAGTTCTTTTTTTTTTTCATTTCTTCTCAATAAAAATTTTAGTTTTGTTTTAATTTAATTTTGAATTTTTTTTATGAATTTGAAATATTGTTCTTTATTAAAAACTTTAACTTTTAATACATAAACATTGTTTTTTTTATTTGTTCCCAATAAAAATTTTAGTTTCTGTTTTACTTTAATTAAAAAATTTTGTTTAACGAATTTTATACATTTTTTTTCATTAAAAACTTTCATTTTTATACCCTAAATAGAGTATATGCCATTAAGTTTGTGACACCCAAAAGCAAGCGTCAGAGACCGATAAAATATATATGTATGTATGTATATAGATGATCAGCGTGATGAGATGATTTGATTTAGCCATGCCCGTCTGCTATCTGTCTGTCTGTATATACGCGAACTAGTCCCGCCAGTTTTTGAGATATTGATCCGATTTGTGATTAATTCTTCTTACCAAGAAGCTGCTCATTTGTCGGAACCACCACTATAGCATATAGCTGCCGTACAAACTGACCGAACAATATAAAGTTCTTGTATGGGAATTTTTTTATTTATGTTTTGTTAATTTTTTTTTTTTAATTGCATTTTCAAAAACGAACGTTATATAAACATATAATAAATGTGAATGTATTTCTGCATCCAAGTGTGTGCACACAAATTTTATTGCTTCCCGCCGAATCATCTGTTTCGTAACGTACAAAATGCCGCTAATGAACAATACACAGAGAGTCAAAGCCTATAAAAAGAAAATTGTAACATTGTTGTTGCTAAGGTTTGCTCAAGCAGGCACAGTTGCATACAAACATACGAGTCTCTGTTATGTGAGTATGCCTCAGCACACAAGCTAAGCTTCTTCCCCCACAAAAGCCGCGCCAACAAGTCGCCAAACAAAAACTCAAAATGACAACGAATCATATTGAGATATTGAGAGTGGCGACAAACAGAACTAACGAAAAACTACACAAAACGAAATTCAAAAGTAACTACCAGCACGTTATGTTAATTGCTTCTTTACTTAAATGAATGACCCTCGAAGGTGATCCGGGATTTTTAGATTAGACATGCATAGTTCCCGCTGCTTTTGGTAGCCAAAGGTGAATACAGGAGAGATGAGAGAGAGAGAGAGAAAACAAATATGTTTATATGGTAATATGTTTCTATGGCAGTTTGTACCAAACGAACCTTCAATTTGCCAGCACAAATAAACAAATAATGAATATTACTAAACAACACTAACGACCATCTAGCAAGCCGTTCAAGCAGTATCAAAGTCCATTTGGCGCTGAGTCGTATGCCAGACCAAGAAAAAGACACAAGACACGAGCAGCAAAACAAAAATAAAAGTAATAATAATACAACGCTAATAAAACAGCACGAGAACCGAAAATTGTGTCAGAGGATAGGCGATTCTTCGAATGCCCAGCACAGTCTCTTTTGGTCCCTTCTACCGGGAGATGTCTCGAACGCCTCCACAAAATTGCTTGCCAATATGCTTTTGAAGGCGATTTCTTTTCATTTTTATTTTGGTTGGTGATTTCTGTATCCAACTAAACTTCCTTTGTTCTTAATAGAGTCTATGCAATATGGATATGGTTTCTTAACACAATTTTATCTATTAACGGTGGTTTACCTTTTTTATGGTTGGAAATTTGACTTTCGCTTTTTGTTCCTTTGTATCTTTTACTTTCTTTCACTTTGTCTTATTTCATTTAGTTCACATTTAGATATTCTTATTGCACCAGAGCAATAATTAATTTAGACAACTTTAGCAAGTATGGCTGGCTGACTTATCTTCCATACACATCAAATTTACTTATATTTTGCTTTTACTTTACACTTTAGACCTTTGCCTTTAGTTATTTCACTACAAAGATTCTTTAAATATTTTCGTTGCTTTGTTGAAACATTGATTTCACAATTTCATGATTTCCGTTCTATTAAGTTACTTAAATGTTATTGTTTTCTTATGTATACTTTTTTCAATAACTTTTATATTTTCCGCCTTGTAGGCCTTTCTTTTTTTGTAGTTGCTCCGACAAGTGCGATTTGTAGACTGAAGCTTGCGTCTAGTAGCGTCGAGTCATATAATCTGGCAGCCAACGAGCGAAACCGCTGACAGCTAGCCAACCAAGCACACCACCTCAGCAGGGAGAACGATAATCAAATTAACCCATGCATACATAACTACTTATCTGTCATGTGAGAGCGCTTTTGAGAACGCTTAAGTTATGGTATGCGTTTGTTTCTGCGTGGTGGCTTGATTCGGAGGGGGGAAACAAATGGTCACAAAAAATGAAAGACAAACCACTTGGAAGGGTATCAGCGGAAGTAAAAACTATTGCAATATTTAGTGTAAAAATGAGAACTTTAAGAGTGAAGGTTCCAAAGCTTTTGCTATTGAGCACTTCATGCTCTGAGGATCGACGTACGCTAAATACTCAGTAAATTTTAAAGAGTTTTGAAAAACCATTTTCTCTTATTATAAGTTCCACATTTTTATATTCCCTACATTTTGATGTCACAGCGAAATACGTAATAGAGAATAAAAAAAAAACAACTATGTGCGTTGATTCTCTAAACGCTTACGAGTACGTCAATATGCATCTAAAAGAAAAGTTGGAAAGATAAGGGTCCAACATGAACACTAATGATGATTAGAAATAGAAATATCGCAAAAAATATTTGTTAACCCTCTTTTTAATTATTGTATACCGACCATGAATCGAGCAAATGTACGACGTCTCAGTGGAAGTGCTGGAAGAAAGTGTGATGAGACAGTGGGTATCTTAAAAGGCCATGTGCGTTATAACCTGTATGTTGCTGCCGCATTTGTAAACTCCGGAAAACAAGTGCAACCGTGAGACCATTTTACAGCAGTGTTTGAATCCAGACACCAAGGAACAGTCGAAACAGTGGACTACCCCTGGTTCAAGTACTTGGTATAAATGCATAAAGTCTAAGTATTATTTTATAAGGGTTAAAAATTAATGTCATTTAACCATTATAGAAGGTCTCAACATTAGACAAATATCCAACCCTAAATTTATTATAAATCCGTGTACCTTGTTGCGCAGAATTGTTATATAGCCATACAGCAGATATGACTTATATATAAGTATAATGGATTTTGGTATCTCTTATACAAACGATTTCTTCTTTTTTTCTTCAAAATTCCGCATTTTTGACGTCCTCTCGATAGAGAAGTCAGTATCCACTAAATACTCTATAACAAACAAGGCTAAAGTACAAGTGGATACTGAATGAGCAAACTCCAAAATACCTCCCTCTAGCAAATCAAGCTGCTCGGAATCGGGTGAAAACAAGCGACAATCGATAGCGTGTCCAAGAAGAAGAGTCCCCAATATTGTCCACATAACGAATATATGTATATCTGTCCTCTGATTTTTATATCCTGAACAGGGTATAGAAAGTTTGCCACGAAGTTTGCAACACACGTTGGAGATCCAATAAAGTATGTAAGTATGGTATATAAATGATCAGCGTGACGAGCTGAGTCGATTAAGCTATGTCCGTTTGTCTGTTAGATATCAATTTGAAATTTTGCATGCGTTCTATTCTCCCCAAGAAGCGGCGCATTTGTCGGAACCGCCAATATCGGACCACTATAGCATATATCTGCCATATAAACTGACCGATCAAAATCAAGTTCTTGTATGTAAAACTGTATTATTTGATACATTATATTCACGAATTTTGGCATGGATTATTGTCCAAGGCAGCGATACAATCTCGGAATAACCGGTTCAGATTGGACCAATACAGCATATATGTAGCTGCCGTACAAACTGATCGCTTAAAATCAAGACTCTGTTGGAAAACTGATTTATTTGCCAAAATATCTTTACGAAATTTGGCATAGATTATAGTCCAAGGCAGCGCTACAATCTCGGAACAAATTGTTCAGATCGGGTCAGTGAAGCATATAGCCGCCATACAAACTGATCGATCAAAATCAAGATAAAGATCCTTTTATGCCCTTTTATGATATAAGAAATGCCCCTGTGAAGTATATTTTTTTTGTTTATTATACGATTTTTTAGACAGCTCAAAATCTTTAGTCGTAATTTATGCCCATGATCGACTTTGACATATTACTTTACCAACAGCTAGGACTTTTACCATACATTACTTAATCATACATACTTACATATGTATATTGAAGAAATTTAAGTTTATAGAAAATAAATATTAGTTCTCGAAACATCAATAAATAACCTTGTGGGTATTTTTTTATTAACTTTTGTCTAGCGCAAAATCATATAGAATTCGCATTACGCTTTGTAAAAGAATTTTTCTACAGTACACATTTGTCTGCTAAATGAAAAAAAGTTTGTATTTCTTCCATTCATCGCACAAATTTAACGTACATAAATTAGTCACGCGAAAACATTGCACATTTGTGAGCATCAATGAACTGAACTTGGTGAGGAAATGCCCGGCCATGTCAACGCCTACGAGTGAAAATTTTGCGGAAAATTTGGATAAGAGCCAAAAAACAAGGCAATTTGCCGTCTCTATGCAAATGTAAGAACAACAAAACTTTGAAAATTAAGCAAAAATGAATAAAGTATAGTATGTGGGTTTAAAGTGCGATTAGCACGTGGTATACGAACGAAAGGAAAAACAGAAACTTACCAGCACAACTTAATCGTGAAAACAAATAAATATCCACAAATTTGCAAATAAATTTGTGCAAAAATAAAAAGATGTAGGCAAATTAATATATGTAAATATTGCTTTTGTTGTTTTATTTGTATTTTTACACACTCCGCTTGAACAGATTTTTTTTGCTTCGACAATTCTTGTTTGAAATATGCGCTTTTATAAACTACATACATATAATATATTAATTAGCTGGTATATTTAAACGAATATATAATATGATAAATACATATATTTACATACGTACATATGTATATATATATATGTAAATATATATAAATTGGCAAAAACAGCTTACGTACAAATTTATTTTTTTTTTCAATTATCCTTTCAAATACATATTTTATTTATCATTAATATTAAGAAAATATCAATAATAGCATGGATTGGTATAACAAACAAAATGCGCATTTATTATAAATACTTTAAAATAAATACATTGATATGCCACCCGACTTTCAAAATAGTAAAAAATACCGTAATTTTTTTTAAACTATACTCTTTAAATTTGCATATTCTTTTAACATTACTCTCTCGCTCTTTCCTGTCTACTCTCTTCAAGGTCACTAACTTAATTCGTCTACTGAGAGGCCTCTAGTATATAATTATTTCAAAATTGTAGGCACACTTTTAGTTCTTCGCCGTTTTCCGGCGTCTGGCATCCGTTACAGCACCCCATAGTTCGATAATGAAGTCATCGGTAAAGCCAAACGACTCCAAATCGGAATTGTCGATAGCCTCCGCAAAGTCCATGGAATTCGATTTGTTCGCACCCAAATCCCAAATTTGTGTCGCCAATTCGGTGTCATTTATGCCCATAAACGATTCTAACAAATTATTGATCGCTTCAATGCCCGATTGCGTTGACTCGTCGAATTTGTCCTCGATCTCTACATTACCGTTCGCCTTAAATCGTAATGTCTCCTTGCCACTGCCATAGCCACGTCCCGAGGGCGCTCTCGATTGTGTACGCGGACCGATTCCCTGGAAACCGCTCTTCATCGGTTCCACCAATCGTAACGTGAATGTGGTGCCGGTAGGTATATCCTTTAGCAGACGTGCGACTTCGTAATGTCGCTTACCCACCATAGTGATATCATTCAACTTTTCAATATGATCACCGACGCTAATGTGTTCAATGCGATCGATGACCGAACCCTCTTTAATGCGCTTAATGAATGCATAACCCGCTCCATTATCTGTTATGGTTAAGCCGAGCGCATCCTCCGATTTTACGATCTCAATCTCTTTCGGTCGCCCCTTTCGATGCGCGAATATAAAATCATCCAGTCCGATTTGACCGCCCAGCAGTTTTGTCATGTCTACTTTGTGTGAATTCAAAGTGCAGAAAAGTATCTCCTCGACAGGTATGTCGTAGCACTCGGCGATCTTTTTATAGAGCTCTCGTACACTTGCGAAGCCGGTTATCAAACCAGTTGGACTGCCATGCGCCAGTTGACAGTGGAATATTAGTTGTGGTTTGGGAATGTATGGGTCGTTGCGGTTATTCGCATTGCTGCTACCATTCATGGTGGTGGCTTTACCATTGGCCGTTGTGTTATTGTTGTCGTTGTATGTGTTGCCTCCGGTGGCAGTAGAAGCGGCATTTGTAGATGGATCGGAATCTGTTCTACCGAATTTTGGACCCTTTTTTGAAAACAGCGGCATAGCGAAATGTTCCCGAAAATGTTGAACTTAGTTTACTCTCTCTCCTTCTCCCCCTATCTCTCTCTGTGACGGATTGGCTTTTGTATCTGTTTGTGGAGAGAAGTGAGGTTTTTAACAAAAATTTTGCTTCGTATTTTATTGCTAGTGTTAGGTTAGTTTAGTTAATAACATCACCTGTGTTGGGTATGTGTTTTATATATTAGGATTTAGTGATTTTCTTTGTTAACTCTTGTATTTTTTGTTAAAATAGTGGTTTGCACGTATGGAGAGTAAAAATTATACTGAATTTTGCGAATTATATATGTATAATATATTATTTTTCTAAATTTTTACCTAAGCTTTTCGTGTAGCAGTGCTATTCGTCTTGTATTTATCGAATTTAAAGACAGTTCAAAGACGCCACGTTCAGTTTGGGGTTCGATCTTGAAATATATAAGCCTTAGTTTCTTCCTTATTTGATCTTAAATTATCTTTGAATATAAGATCCCGAACAGTGGACTCGCGGCTTGTCCATTTATTTTTTTTTCACACAAAACTAAGCCGTGCAAAAAAAAACGTTAACCGATCTGGACAAATTGTTCGGAGATTGCAGCGCTGCCTTCGATAAATAAAATCTATGCCAAATTTAGTTTCAAATAAAAAAGTTTTCTATATGAGGAAAACTTGATTTGGATCGATCAGTTTATATGGCAGCTATATTCTATAGGGTGAACTCGGAAAGACACAGACATGGCTAAATCGACTAAGTTCGTCCCGCTGATAATTTATATATATACTTTATATATAAATACTTGTACATATTAGGTTTCCTTCTGAGTATTAGAGATATTAGGCCAAACTTAATATTCTCTGTTTAGGGTATAAAAAATTTCGGGTGTGTTCTTTTGAACCTGTCAATTAAGGAGTCACACTTTGATTCTCTCGCCTTGGAAATTTCCTTTGAAACCGATATTTTATTGTAGTTTCTAGTTATTACTATTATGCTTTAATGGAGTGGCTCGTGGTAATTTGTAGCCCTGATAAGAATTGTGGTTTATCTCCGATCATCGCAAACAAAGGTATGAAAGTATGACGTGCTACCTAATGTTAGAGTGCTTAAATGAAAATTTGTGCTCAAGCAAAGCGAGTAACTCTTAATTGAAATTGATTTAGCATAATTCATATTTTTATAGAAATCAAGTTATTTCAGAAATATTTCAGTTCTCGTAGTTTTAACTCAGCTTACTCAGAGTTGTCTAGAGTAGTATAATCATACATTAAAATATTATATATCAGTAAACAGAAGATATCTTTTATGCCAGTAAATAAAAAAATTTAATAATTTTGCCTTTTATAATTTAAATATTTTTATTTGATTTGACCTTTTATAATTTATTTATAATATTTTCTGTATTTTCTGAAATGAGCTATTTTTCTAATTTTTCATAACTTTTTATGAGGATCTGGGGCGATATAGTCCGGTTACTATGGTTGCTAGCATACACCTTGCTTTCCTAATAACTCCATAACAAAGAACCATCAGAATCAAGTTGAACTTCTCTTGTGGAGATATAGCTGGTCAGTCAATACAAACTAATTTCACAATATGTTCGACGATATACGATGATTTGAGTTAATACATTGTTTACAATCGATATTAAATATGGCGCAAGCTGTAGTAATGTTCTGAGATAAATTAACATCTTAGGCTCCTACTGATTCATTCAGAGTTTGATCATTTCATTTGGTCAAAGTACTCTCCATAAGTTCACAAACCACTCTTGTATATTAGCCACTAGTTATAAAACTACCCAAAACCATATATTTTAGTTAAATATATCTTAAATCACTTTTTATTAGTTAAAACCATAACCATAGTAAATGTTATTGGTAGGTATGCATGTATATATACAAATGTTGCAACATATGCTCGGTGATGATTAGTTTTCGCATAATGCCACTTCTTGTTTTATTTATTTTCATTTTCTTTTTCACCATAACTACGTGTGCGATAATATGATAATAAGTGAGGTTAAATCATATCACTCAGTAGCTACATATGATTCATTATAACAAATACAAGTGTAAATTCTTGTTTTAAATGTAATACAAACACCATAAATTCTTTGAATTTTAATAATGAGAAATTACTAATTTAATTTGAACACGCACTGATCACACTTTCTCTTTTATCTAATTTAGGCATTAATTATAATTAATTCAATTTAAATACACAATTTGAGGACAGATATACGTACGGCTCGCTAAAAACGGCACTTCTGGCATTTAGAGACGACAAAAAATGCTACGTCGCTTTGCCAGCATTTCATGAATGTCTTATCGAGAATTGCGTGAAAAGACGATAAGACTTCTTAGAGAACGGGCGCAATAAGGAACAATGTGATAGATAAGCGGCAAGACATGCAGCACACTCACGCCTTTCCAGCGGCCGGGAGTGTACATTGGGGTACCGAATATAAGTATGTACATACATTAATGTATATGTATACATTAATGTGAATATTAGGGTGGGTAAAAAAAAACGAATGTTTTGTTCACTTTATACTCTAAAAAATTGGTTGATATACACCTCTAAGAAAGGCTCTCCAAGTATGAGCTCTTTATTGTAACGGAAAGGTCAGCTGCCTAATATAAAATTTTCTTATTATCAGAAAAATTCATATCTCGCTTCCAACTACTTTCGTTTCTTAGATTTATAGGAATTTGAATGCTCAAAATGGTCTCGTAAACCTAACCGTTTAAAAGATATTAACGGTTAAATATTTTAAGGCAAATTTTTTTTTTTTGAATTTTATAACTCAAAGAAAAAGATTAATATTAAATTACAAAGCCCATAGTTTTGCAGGAAATTTACTGCTCTACCAAAAATTGTTTTTTTTTGTCTTTCTTTATGTTTGTTTTTTGTGTTTTCCTTTGGTAGGCATTAATGTTTGACGATGAATATCTCGTAAACGCTTAACTTAATCGAAAAATTATATATATCATTTTTGTAGAATAGAAAATTTCCTTCAAGACTTAGAGGTTTGCAATTTAAAATCACGAAGCGAAGAAAAAAAAATTTGGGTTTTGGTCCACCCTAATGTACATATATGGTATACTACCAGACTGCAAATATGTTAGTATTTTTTGGTAGTAGTAGCATTGTTTATGGTAACCCCAAATTTGAGAGTAGCAATTGAAAGAGAGCCCACTTGAAGAGTGATATCACGATAACAGAAACATTAATGAGTAGAAAATAGTATTATCGCTGCACTTTCCAGTTTAGGTTTATTTTAGAACTGAAGTGTGGAGCAAATAAGTTAAAAATACTTTAAAGAATAACGAAGCTTGTTCGGCTAGTTTCAGCCTGTTAAGTCGTCTCCTTCCGCTCTATTTCTTTTGGTAAAACAAACCATAAAACAAATTCATACATTTTTGTCATGGATATGAGTCTTATCAAAAAATTTCTTTACGAAAAATAAATAGAACTTTAAGTTATTATTTATATTTTTTAATCATGTGTGTAAAAAGTTTCTGGAATACTTTTTGGGAATTATGCTGATGAAAATTTTAGACCGTTTCCATTATTTTATAGCTCATATATAGTCAAGGAACATCTAAGCATTACATTGATAGGTTATGTTTATCACAACAAATTGAAATTTGAGATAGGTGGACAGTTCTGACAACTACAAAAACTTGAATTCTTATTCAACCCGTTGGATATTAGAATAAATTTTCTGTATCACCGAATATAGATATTCCAAAGTATTATAGTAGGTCAATGATTCTAAAATCTATCGTAGAGATCATAGAAGAATTCAACATTTGAATAACCAAAGAAATAGCATAGCAGTTCAATTGATTATAACATATAACAGTTTTTAGTATCACAAATATTCAGCAATTTCTCACTATTGCTTCACAATTTTTGTAGAACATTTTTTTTTCAATATAGAAGACCTTTTTTAAGAAATGCATACACACGAGTATGAGTTAACCTTAGTACTATATATCCTTGAGATGCTCGTCACAAATCCTTATAAATATTTTGGTGAATACTTCAACTAATTTTTATTTTCTTATTAATTTTTTAAACACAAAAAATTTTAATTGTCATACAATAATAAAAAAATTCACAACTAACTTGACATTTTTTTTTATTTTTCTCATTTGTTTTTACATAGAAATTGATTAATTACGCATTGTTTGATAAAGATTGTTATGTAGAGTTTATGTGGCAGTTATGACAATTATGACAGAAACGGTAAGTTGCCATCATTTTGATTACTCATACTTGTACTAGCATAATAAAAAATATAATCACGAATTCAATTGATAAGGAATTGTAATGTAGTATAAAAGAAACACTTTGAAACATATACAATATATTATAACACTGCTATTACAAAATCGTAAAAATATGAAAAGAAAAATTGAGAAAACTTATAGAGAAAACAGCACTTAAATATATAATATATAGTAAGTTTATCGAGAGGTATTCTCTTTTCATCGTTCTATGATAAATACTAATATTCAAGTAATTGAAGTGATTTTTCTACCCAAAATGGTAGTTAATATCAAATTATGATTTCATTTTTGCTAGTACTTTTCAAGAAGAATAAGCCAAAATCGATCCGACGTGGAAGAAGGTCGATCTCTCGCAGCATCCATTACAATAAAAAATTGTATTTATTTTATTCTAATCTCTGTTATTATATAAGAATCGACACAAAAAGCGAAACATGAAGAAAGAGTAGTCATTGTTTTTATACAACGGGACTAATTTTTTGGAACAAACTTAGTTAATCCTCCAGTTTTTCATTTTGTATGAGCTTTTACTGGACTTTGACTAATAGGCATTCATGCGGTAAGGCTTACACTTACACACTTACTCCTTCATTGTTCAGGTTTTGTTTAAATCTCCGCAGTCATACTTTCTGCGAACCAGCAGAGATAGCCGAAACTGATATAAGTCGAATCAGGAAATGAAGGCGTGCGTGAGACTCAAAGCGTTTGGTTGGTTATGAGGGTCTTTGCGATTATTATATAAGAAATATATCAGCATTCCAGGCTGTCCAAGTGAGATTCGTGTTGGCGATTGTAACAGAATCGGCAGAACTTTAACCTAACCTCTCATAACATAACTATAAAGTACCTCCTTAGAGTAGCTACATAACTTCTGGATATTCCGTCAGTTGAATTTATAAACCTCTTGACGATTTTTTTCAACGCATAATTTGAGGTTGTTGTGACTTCCAGGTAAACTTTTGTCTCAAATGACACGTTCTTTTCTTTGCAATATCGCCGTGGATAAAAGTGTATCCAGAAACAGAAGGCTCTTAAGAAACAACGCATGGAGATTTTAAAGAATTTTTTATCAACTCTGAATTCATGAGACAAATTCTACAAACCAGACAAGATGTGTCGGTAAAGAGACTTTTTTTCCAACCCTCAAAGCACTTAAAAAAGTAATTTTTTGTGATCTTGTTCAGCTCCTTCTTCGATGCAGTTTTTATCTCCTCAATCGTAGCGCAGCGTCGTCCTCTTTAACTTTGAGAAAAATAAGTCAATAGGAAGCCAAGTCTGGGGAATACGGTGGCTGCGGCGCATCAGATAATATTCTCTGTTGACCGTACGACTCTTTGGAAGAACTTATGATCCAAGACGCTCTGCAATCGAAGGAAATTGTGAGCAAAACCTTCACATTCGAGCGAACTTGACGTGCTTTTTTCGGTCTTAGCTCATGCGGCAGCTTCCATTGGGATGATTGAGCTTTGGTTTCGACGTCTTAACAATAATCCCATGATTCCTCACCAGTATATTTGTTTCACTTGTATATATAATATTATGGTGAGAAAATTTTAGTGTTTATTATTGCTTATGTTTAAATATTTTAATTACTCTTAATTACGCCAAAAACTAAGGCGTACGTGCCTAAATATATTGAATTAACAAAAGCATAAATATCTTAAAAATTCCATAACCTGTCGCAGCAATAAATTATAAAATCTAGATATGTATGTAAGAATGTGTATGCATATATCATTTATATATTCAAAAAGAACGAGCCTCTTTTTTATGAGCTTATGACAACAAAACCACAATCGAGATCAAAACAAATACATATAAATATAAAACGTACATAAATACACACGTATACACAAAGGTATACATATGTACATATGTATATATTTGACACACACCTCCGCGCACCAAAAACAATATTAAAGCCACGCGTTGGAGCAAATAGATCCTCAAGGTCACTTACTGAAAGATTAACAACATTGACGCAAGGTTCAACAACAACAAAGAAAAAAAAACTGGTGCGAATTGTAGCAGAAACGTAAATAAATTATGCAATATACAAAAATATATATATAAGTATATGTATATGTGTATGTGTGTAAATTAGATTAATACAACTACTTTGTAGCCTTTGATAATAAAAAACATCGCACGACACAATACAAGAAAATAGAAGTAGAATTTCATTAAAATGAAATCGTTATAACTTTTGTATGTATGTAAATTTGTTTATACGTAGATGTTATAAAAAGCGCAGGCTTATAGAACGTCAGCAACACTTGCATTAGGCACCTAGGCATTGCGCAAGCAAAGGTTTTTCAACTATGCTCAATGTTATGCGGAAGTATCGACTTGTATTAACAAACAACAACATTGTTCATATGTTTTTAAACTTTTTCTAGTATTTGCATAACTGTGTTGAAAAAATAAACAATTTAATCGACGCACTTATTGCATAGTCAAAGACCCCTAAACAGGTCGGCAAAAAACAAAATAGGAAGCATACTACATAGGCTGCAAAAGTATAGCTTTATTTCCCGACAGAGTATCCATTCAGCGTAATGCATTTGTTGTAACAGGATTTTATAAGTTTCGATATCGGTACGAGTAAAGGTTCCAAACCCTCAAAGTAGTTTTTTCATCTTTACCATTTGAGTGAAATTTTTTACAACGAGCCCCTTTTTGAGTCTGATTAATAGAAAATGTCGCTAGGGGACAAATTTGATGAATATGATTGGTGGGGGACTACTTAACAGCGCAATTCTTCAGTTGATCGGTTGTATCACAAGCCGAAAGAGTTGAAGCGTTTTTTTATAGAACTTGAGAATGTTTGGGCGCGTTATCTTGACCGGGTAAAATACTTTTCAGTGAGGAGACAACATCGAAACTTTGGCACAGACCATTCTGTGCTTTGCAGAATTTGGAATAAGCTCCTTAAAAACGACTTTATCTTAAGAAATTAAAGTGACGTTTGCGAGTTTAATGGTAGACATTTTCCGAGACACCTGTCAATTCAGATTCAGACTAATAATGCTTCTTTGTATTCTCTACTTTCTCTAAGCTTTGTATCTCCAATCCACGACTAATCGAAAGGTAGTGGCACACGCAACCCACTCACTAACCGTCATTCTTACTATCTATTAATGTATTAAAATTTGCTTTAAATTGACTAATTTAGCGCTCAATTGAGCTAAATGTGTCAACTAAAGTGCTTTGAATGAATTGAATAGTTACAGTACAAATATATATGTAAAATAGCAATTGACTTTTTTATTTTATAACTCATGTTAATGAGTTCCATGCGTTTGTGGTGAGATATCAAAAAAAAAAAATTTTTTAGAAAAAAAACACGTACTAAGGATTGTGAGCGAGATGACAATTTTGAGGAGATAACAATTCACGAGACTTGTTGGTGTTATTTATTTGTTTTTTAGAATTATACACACAATTCCATTCGTTTTGAATTTTTTAAGTGAAAATTTTTTCGGTTTGCATAAAAAAAAGGGATATTATTTTTGTGACGGCTTCAATAACAACTTCCGATTTTGGATTCGAAAGCCATTGTTTGCGCCTAAATATTATTATAATTAGGGATTGAAAAGGTATTCAAAGGCAATGTTTAATCAAATATCGGACTGAACGCTTAATCAAAATGTCTAATCGAACGCTTTATGTTAATTCTAAGCAAGGCTTTATTTTTCATTCGAAGCCGATTTTCTTGAAGAAATTGTTAAGCTTTCAGTATCGCGTGATCGCTAATGACGTATGAATATTTATGTGTGCAATTGGAATAATCACGAGCAACTTATCTATCAAATCTACTTATACTTAAGTATGTAAGAGTATGTGACATTTAAATGTTACGTCATTTAAACGTAAACCAGTGAACAGCTTGAGTTCGAAAATTACGTAATAAATTGTGGAATTATGTGTTATGGAAAAATCAAAATCAAAATCATAGCAGGGTGATACACAATCCGTTGTACGTATTTCTACATAATATGAAACAAAGTGAAAAGCTTTGGAACAGGCTAAACTTGAGAAGTACAAATCGGTTGTGTAGGGGCTATATTATTTATACTATTATGAATATAAAACAAGAAACTACGTTAACTTCGGCTGCACCGAAACAATAATACCCTTAAAAGATGAATTTATTAAAGCATAAAAGGGTATAAAAAGACCTTTATCTTGATTTTGCTCGGTTAGTTTATATGGCAGCTATAAGCTACATATGTATATGGTCCGATCTGTTCGGAGATTGTAGCGTTGGTTTAGACAAAAACTCATGACAAATTTCATGAAGATATATTTTCAAATGAGAAAGTTTTCCATACAGGGATTTGAGTTTGATCGATCAATTTGTATAGCACCTACGTTATATAGTGGCCCGATATCGGCGATTTCGAAAAAAGGGCGCGTTCTTGGGGAGAAAAGGATGTGTGTAAAATTTCAAATCGACATCAAACTTGAACGGATATGGCTAAATTGACCCAGTTCGTCACGCTGAGCATTTAAATATGTACATATTATATGTATACCATACATATAATATTTTATAGGGTCTTCGACGTTTCCTTCTGAGTGTTACAAACTTCATGACAAACTTTATGTATTGTACCTTATTGAGCGTATAATTTAGTATTCAAAATTAAAACTTTTTTGTACCCTACTTTTTTTAAACGGGATTTCAACCTTAATAGTCTGAAAATCTGCTGCTTTTTTTTGGAATTTTTTTCGCGGAACGTATAATGGATAAAAAGATGAAATTTTCGCACAGTTGTCGTGAAAAGTTTTACAAATTTTTTTGGTGATCCAAGTAATGGAGGGTACCGAATGATGGCGGCAGAGCGACGTCGACTTGTCCACATAGTGGAAGTCCTAGCATCCTTAAATAACATCTAAAACGTAAAAGAAAAGATGAATTATGAGCTTTTGAAAAAAAAATCCATTTGTTTGTCCCTTTTTTTGTCGTTCACAAGAGCTAAAAGAGTCCAGTAGAGTGTTTCTTTTATTCCTTATGTCAAGATAGTGGTTTGACATTTTGCTTACAAGGAATTACCATGAATGTGATAGAACAATATTTAGAATAGCCGCTATTCATATTTTCAAGGAAAAACTTATGACGGGAAGTATATACCCGTAATTTTTTAAAGCCATATTTTTTCTTTTTTTTACAAAAATTTCTTGTTTTAAATAAAATTATATTCGAATTTTCATTCCGTTGCGTTTAAAAGAAATAAATAGGAACACATCTTAATATACCATATTAAGGTAAATGTAAAAAAGTAAAAGTATTCTACTTTTATTAAAATTCATTTATATATATATTATATATTATTGCGTTTAATAATGCTATATGTTATTAAATATTTCAATTGAATATTTTTGAGTTTCTTATCTTTATTCACAATTTTCACCACCAAAATATTTCTATTATTCTATGCATATTTCCATATTAGAATCCATACAAAAAATAGATTAAAAAAATTCAAATTTCTGAACGAATCGTATATGTATATTCATTTGAAACCGAGCGCTCTTGCATCCATGAAAATAATTTCAAAATGAAAAGGAAAGCAGGAATGGGTAGCAGCGCGCCGTTACGAACAAGAACACAAAGCGTGGTACCCGAGCACTAGCGGCACGTCTTTTCTCGACGTTCCTTCGCCCACAATAAACCGGTTTGGGCGAAAAAAGAGTCCGTGTGTGAACTGGCACTAACTAAAACTATTATTTTATCGATATCAAATTACCGATTATAATTGCAAATGAGCTTCTAAAATTGAATTCGTCCTTCATTCTCAGACAGCTTAGATTTTCGGTGTCTTCGAAATAATTTAATGTTTTTTGTTTTGTATCGGAAGATACTCACCCATTATATACCAAAATAATAAATATATTTATTTGATGTTACAAAAAAAAAACACATTTGGCTTACTATGTTTTAAAAAACGTGACATGCATGGCGTACGGATAAAGCACGCGCTTACGAGGGTCGATCAATTAGTCTTCCAATCTCTCTTTCAACTTATTTTACATTCATAAATTCCACTGACTAATTTATGTATTAATATACCATATAAACAAACTGTGTATACATATGTATGTATGTTTAAAAATATAAGTAAATTTATTGAACTCCCCTTGTACGCATTCGTTTACTAGACCAAATCGAAGAAGTAAACAACTTCCAATGGAAGTGTTTGCATGTGGGTGCCAGAACAAAATATTGTTTACAAAGCGTTGCTAATGCAATTAAAACAAGTCAATAATCACACATTGGCACATACTTGCCACTAATGCATGTACATATGTATGTATGTAGCAGAAGAATTTATTTACTTATGTATAAATTTGTATGTACAAGTATGTGTTCTTATGTACATATTACGCTTTGGCATTTCCGCGTTGAACGCCGCTATTGGCTACAAACAATGGAGGCCCGTCAGCGTCTGGTTTTGGGTTCGCTGTCTATGTTGTTGACGCCACTGACTTGGGCAGCGAACAGCGGGGGCATTGACTGAGGGGCACACTTGTGGTCAACAGCCGGCTGCCGCTGAACG